TTTTTTTCTTCTCCTCTTATAATATCTTCTGATTCATTTCGTTGCGGGAACCAAGACATGTCCTCATGTCCCTGGGACCTTGGACTTCAGTGTTCCGGTGTTTTCATAGTTGTATCTACCGTAGATCCTGGTGCACAGTAGTTGCAGCGGTTTTGGGAGCTTAAGGCGGAATCGTCCCACAAAAGGAATCCTTATAGAAAGAGAGATTTTATGGTTTCTTTTCAATTTTGTTAAAGCTGGAGAGTTATGGTATGTCTTATAGTAACTGCCTCGTTGGTCGAGTGGTCGCAAGTGCGACTGCCGGGCAAGGGGTCTCAGGTTCGATTCCCTGGTCGGGCAAAGTATTACTGGGTTTTTTCAAAATTCTCAGTAGTAGCACGGAGTCTGGAATTGTGCCCGGTATATGGCAATAGGCTCACCCCTTATTACATGGGACCCATAACATAAATAGTGAAAAGTGGGTGTTACATTGTACAGTGGTATAATGTGCACCTCTGCCTACCCCTTCGGGGTTAAAAGGCGTAATGTTGTGTTAATGTGATGTTATAGTAACAGAAAAGTACTAATCTATATGTATATCTATTCTATATGTATATAAAAATGAATCCATTTTTCCCTTGGTCACGGCATCACGCGTGAATGGCTGGACCGATTTCAATAAGTCTTTTTTTGTTGTATTTGTTATTATTAGGAGAAGGTTCTTAAGACAGAAAAAATCTACTGAAAATCCTACGGGAATGGGAGAAAACGGGATAGCGCGTACGAATTCGCAGGCAGAATAAAATGGCAGATACTTAACTTATTTACATGTGCCTATCACTAACCTGGATATAGAAGTTGTCAGAGAAGTACGAGAGATACCTTCAGGCGTTTCTTGGAAGGAGACCTTGCTACATTCAGATTTCTGCTCTTTAACTTCTGGCCCATCGCTACTGTCTGATGAAGAGTCTTGTAGTCTTATTTATAACCTCGCCATTGTTAATTTCATGTTCAAAGATCTTACGATATTTATTTTTCCTGGATTTCAAAAACTCATGTAAAGAGCTTTTTGGTATAACTCTTATTATATCATGATTGCTGTCCTGTTTGTTTCTATCTTTCGAATAGTCTGTTAAAGATTTTTTCGATAAAACGCTAAATACGGCGCGAGGACTTCTTCCCGTTTCTTCTTTGGTTTTGTTATTAATATGTTCGTGTGTGAGCGTTTTGAAGACATTTTTTGGTGTTTTTTGGCGGTTTATGTATTGTTATTGTTGTGTTGTCATTTTGATTGACTTGATAGACGTGTGAGAAGAATTTTTGGCATGAGACATATATTTTGGTTCTAAGCAAAGGCTTAAAACGAAGTAGCTTTGCATGGTTGTCATATAAAGAAAATATTTTACATTAAATTTAACGTAGGTTATTTAGTAAAAATAAAGGTATATGACTTAATTCATAAAAATGTAATAATTTTTGTTATAAAGCTATAGTAACGCCATCTATTCTCCGTATTGCGGAAACTATACGTGTGGTTTCTGTCTTAGTAATATTGCTATTCAACACTAGATGGCGATATCGTGAATAGATTCACTACTGCACGCTAGATGTCTATTAATAGTTTAGTTTTAGGAACGAATAAGAGATGGCGTCTACGTCTGAATAGTAAAAACTCTTTTCAAAATTGTAACACTTGTAAATTATTATTATACACAACCTTATTCGTTTTATATTATAAATAATTTAGTATTAAACGATAAAAAGACAAAATGTATTAGATTTGTTTTGCCAAATGTTAAAAGCAGCGAATGTGACATAATATTGAATGATGAGAAATTAGAATTTGTAAAAGAGACTACTTTCTGGGAATTACTGTAGACGACAAACTGCAATGGTCCTCATATTACATCTTTAGCGGGACGATTGAGCTCTGCAGCTTATGCTGTCTGGAAGATACGACAGTTGACCGACATAGGCACGGCAAGACTAGTGTACTTCAGTTACTTTCATAGCATTATGTCGTATGGCATTTTGCTGTGGGGACACGCTGCTGACATTGAGTCTATCTTTATCTTACAAAAGCGCGCCGTCAGAGCTATCTACAACCTAGGTCGTCGCGAATCTCTCAGAGAGAGGTTTAAAGAGATCAACATTATGACCGTTCCATGTCAATTTATCTATGAAAACATCATGTATGTTAGGAAAAATCTACAGTTATTTGGTAGTGTCGGACAGACACCACTATCAAACTAGACATACGGATAGATTAAGTCAGCCAATTTTGAAATTGGCGAAAGTAAGTAAATCGTTCATGGGATTCCGTGTTAAATGTTATAACAAGATACCGAGCGATATAAAACACCTAAATGAAACGAAGTTTAAATTATGTATAAAAAACTTTATGTAGACAAGCATAATTTACAAAATTAATGATTATATAGAAGATAAAAATGCTTGGATGCATGCTGGTCCAGCTCCACGGGATAACGAAAAACATTGATGTGTCAATGAAATTCAACCTAAATATTACAACGTAGTTACTAAAATGTATATGGTTTAACTTGCATAATCATTGTTAATGTGAGAGCCCTGTAATTAACTTAATATTAAATTGGACTAGAAGAATGCATTTACATATGTCAGCTTGGAGTTGTCATGTTCACTCAAATATCTCATTGGCGGTGGCACGTGCATTGGGTCGCTAGATTCCCTGCAATATGGTTGAGTTGTGCGGTGCTGGTGAACGTGTCATGTTCGTGAACGGGCGCCGTCAACTGTGACTGGTCAGCTTCAGACTGTATTATTTATTGTCTTTAAGGGTTATTTTCTTTTTCGATCTCTTTGGCTAGATTTGGTGTTACATTGTTCTCGCACAATCAAACCAATAATACTGTGTAACTGAAGAATTGTATTGTGAAACTGATTGGAAAAGAGTAACCTATGGAGTTTCTTGCTCGTTCTTCTCCATAGGAATCTACACCTTGGAATGAACAAATAGCTTCACTTTTAAATTTCTATTGCTGACGTTCAAAAGTGCCTTCCTGGTCTAATTGAAATAAATGATTTTTGATTTTGACTTTGACTATTCCTATTTAAAATTTCTTTCTTTTATTTCCATATATCGAGTTAAGTGAAATTGAATCAATTAAAATAATTATTTAATTGTTTTGTAATGAATGAAAAATTTTGTAGAAAATAATTTTCTAAGCAAAGTTGTCATCAAAACTTGGCTAGAGAACGAATAAAGTTGTTGTTACAAAATTCCAATATTTTTTTACATTCAACATCTTTTATTTTTTTTACATGCATTGCTATTACTGTATTGTGCCTGGTGTCTTGGTTTTAAATAAATTAAAAAGAAACTGACTCAAACTGGAGGGATTCAAATCCTATATACTTAATTAGGAGCAGGAACGGGTGGTGTTCAGTCAGTAAGAGTCTGACACTCTCTCGCCTCACCTAAGGCGGGGAAGTCGTGGATGATATTTTCTCCTCTTCCAAAAAAGTTTTTTTTTTATTTAACCGTTGCCTCACACTAGGATTTCTCATGTGTCGTGTGTGCGTTTACAAACATATAAGTTCACAAACACATCACACACAGACACGGAACTACAATTTGTAGATTACACAAAGAGTTGTTCCGTGCACACCCCGTTCCTTCTCCTGCACGTCGAGCCGGAGCCCCGGTTAACCCGTTAGGTTCTCCGCGACTCCGAATGTGCAGTCGTATTTGGAAGTGTATTTTTATTATTATTGTACAACTTAAATAAATCGGCACCAATATGATTGGTATTTGTACAGTTCTATTCAAATATATGTATCTCTTATATATATATATGTATGTATCTCTTATATATATATGTATCTCAAATATATGTCTTCTCATCATACCGAAGTCTTTTATTATTCAAGACCACCAGCAACACACCTGGAGCTTGATATTCAAACAGTCGCAATAAAACAAAAGAAAAATATTTGTAAAATCCATTTATTTCAATTATTTAAATCTTATTTTGTAGACAATAATTAATAAGAAATGTTTTATAATAATACATATTTTTATTATTATAAGTAAGCTGACTGGATATTTACTAATCGGCTATTTGTCATACTTTATATAAAAAATACTTATTTTTATTGTTTTATACCTCACTGGTTTCAATTTTAAATTTAAAAATTATATTTTATACATTTTTTTTTATTTAAAATTTTTAATTTAAATATTTTTAAAGGTCTGTCTTTTAAGATTAAAATCAGTGAGTTTTTTGTCTCGTTTTTACGACTAAATACCAATATTATTAGATAGTCGACCATTTTGGCCAATTTCTATCATCCAATATGGTCAAATTTCTAATCTTTCATTCTTCTTTTACTTAAAAAACATTATAAAAAAGATTATCAATGTACTATTCTTAGTTATAAAATAAGATTTATTAAAAATAAAAAGCTGGGACGGGGGGCAAATGAAAATTAATACTTTTAAAAATTAGATAAATTGGCAGTTTCAAAATTTATAAAAATTTAAAGCCCTGTTTAAGTAAAAACATATAAAATTAAAAATAAAATAATATACTGGGAGACTGAACAAAAATAATACATACACAAATAAGTACGTAAAATACTAGGTATTCGTGAAAAAATTAAATATAACCTACCTATTTACAGATCTTTATAATATTTATTTATAAATAAAAAAATTATAATATCATTAATAAAATAAAATCAGAAATATTTCGCTCGCAGTTTCCTTGTAAAAAAAACACAACAATTATAATTTTATTAAAAAAAAAACAAACAAATTTTGACCAGAATAATGGTAACTTCGCTTGTAGGAACTGGAGTATTACATTTTTTGTACTGTAAATAAGTTTAATTTACATAAAAAAAACCAATTATTTAAGTATAATAATAAAAAAAAACATAAAATAAAATGATGAATAAAAAATTTTATGGCACGTTGTCCAATCCAAAGCAATAAGTTACCAATTTGTTTTCGTTTTTATATATCAAGTACTCGTTGTTCATTTTCCTTCGACACATTTACATTTGGCGTCGTGGACGTGGCCGGCTCCAACCACTTCTGAGAATGAAGGGTTAAAGGATACGCTTGGGGCTACAACTTGCTGGCTCGTCTGACTTCCAGAAGTCTGGTAATCGAATCGGATGATTTGAGGTTTCGTGGTGTACGTCACAATCTTGGGTTTAGTAGTGTAAGTGATAATCTCCGGTTTTGTCGTGAAAGTGACAATTTCGGGTTTTGTCGTGTAAGTTACGATTTCAGGCTTGGTGGTATAGCTGATGATTTCAGGTTTAGTGGTGTAAGTCACGTATTTCGGCTTCGTCGTGTATGTGAAGTATTCGGGTTTGGTCGTGAAAGTGACAATTTCGGGTTTGGTCGTGTACGTCACGATTTCTGGTTTGGTGGTGTAGCTGATGATTTCTGGCTTAGTCGTGTAGGTAACATATTTAGGTTCAGTTTGGAAGAACTTCTTTTCAGTGATAGTTGTGGTGAAGGTCTTCTGAATGGGTCCCTTGACTTCGGTTGAGTATTCTCCTGAGCCAGTGCCGAAGTTAGCTGATCCGAATTGAGTGAACTCTCCTGATTGGCCTTGTCCTGCGATACCGAAGCCCTTGATGCCGAGTCCTGATCCAGAGCCTGATTGGCCTGAGATTTCGAAGCCCTTAATGCCTAGTCCACTACCAGAGACGGCTGTTGCTCCTGAGGAGACTGAACCCTTGATACCGATGCCTGATGAGCCCTTGATGCCAACTCCGGAGGTGCCCTTGATGCCAAAGCCAGTGGTTCCCTTAACTCCAGTGCCATAAGTAGTCTTGATACCAGTGCCTTGTGTGATGATCTTGTTCTTGGTGACCTTGACGACGGTGTACTTCTCGAACCTGACGCTCTCGATGAGACCGATGGCCCATTCGTACCATTCGAGGTCGAACTTGTAGAATGAGGCGAGCTGGTTGCCTGTCTGGCAGCCTGGAAGAGAGAATGGAGATTTAGAAATGCTTTAATACTGGTGGTAGTAGGGAATGGACTGTGTAATAGATGGCTATTGAGGATGCTGTGGTCCTATACTGAGATGGCATTTGGTCCCTCAGGTTTATTGTTCAAGAACTCGTCTTAATTTCTGCACACACATTTTAGTGTGTAACATTTATGAATACTTGAAATACCTCTGATCTCGCCTGCTACCTTCTTCCTTAGTTTTTTCAGTGTCGAAACTCTCGACAACGCAAAATTTGAACCTGTTCTCACTAAATTACATACTTCCCTAATATTGCTAAATTCTTCTTCAGACAGTAACAGGTACTTTTAAATGAGTAATATAAAAAATATGATGATGATGCTTACCAGAGTCCCAGGAGTAGATTCCTCTGAGGACGTAGTGGTTGTCGCCAGTCGTGCAGGCGAGGGCGCTGCCGATGTCAACCTGAAAGTAAAGCGTGATGTCAGAAAAGGTAAGCCGGTTATATCACAAGTTTCTACTTTTCTTCATAAATCAACTATATGTTAATCTAAGGCTTTCTTCTGTGTCGTGGGTGCATTAACAAACATACAAATTCAAATAGGTATAGAATGAAAGAAATAAACAAAAACTATTTATAACCACGGAATATATGTAGAATACAGTATAACGGCACGACACACATTCAAACAACAATACAAGAATATATAAAAATAAGTTCATGGTGCGTCGCAGCACAAAAGGCCGGAGCTCAACTTATTGCTGTGGCCCGGGTATAAAGGCTCGAGTCCACGGCGCTGATTTTCAGCACCAGGTATCTATACCTAGACTCGGAACAACAATAATTGTTTTTTTTGAAAACCGAACCCGCATCACATTATCCCACCCACGGAAAGAGAAGGGCTGATGACTAAAATTGTACTCCAACTTTCTAATGGGGTTACCAACACCCACTTCCAGAGCAATGGTGCTAACAAGCGGTGTCGTGGTGGCTTAAGACTTAAGGCTTAAGACGCCCGCTCCTCATGCGGTTCAAAACATACCAACGGCAAGTACCAATGTGACTTTTTCCGAGTTATATGTACTTTCTAAGATTATCTAGACACCACTGACAAACGGTGAAGGAAAACATCGTGAGGAAACCTGGGCTTATAATTTCTAATTATAAGTTTGTAATCGCCAACCCGCATTGAGCAAGCGTGGTGGTTAATGCTTAAACCTTCTCCGAGTGAGAAGAGGCTTTGCTCAGCAGTGGGCATTTATAGGCTGTTGGTGATGATGATGATTGTGCTAACAAAATAATATTATCTTACTTTGCAGATATTGTTAGCTGGGTTAGTAGGCTGTCCGCAGACACAGCTCTCCTGGTCGTAGTGTTCCAGAAGGTGGGGGTAGTCCTGGGTGATCTTGGACTCGCATTCTCCAGGGTTGAGGAGAGACACGTTCATGCTGTGCATAATGCTGCCGAGGAGATGAGCTGGAAAGAAGCAGAAAGGGAGTTTAGTGTAAGTGTAGTTTCTTGCTCATTCTTCTCCATAGGAATCTACACCTTGGAATGAGCAAATAGCTTCACTTTTAAATTTCTATTGCTGACGTTCAAAAGTGCCTTCCTGGTCTAATTGAAATTAATGATTTTGACTTGACTTGACTGGTAATTTATATTAGAAATTTCTCCTGTATCGTGGGTGCAGTTATAAATACCTACCACAATCGGGTACTTTCCTTAATCAAAAATCAATTATTTCGACTGTTCAATACAATAAAATATTCAATAATAATCACACTTTCATTAATTGATTTTATGACCGACTTAATTTTAGTATTTTTCTAGCAAAGTTTAAAGAAATAAGTATGCAGTTTGACAAAAAACGTGACGTCACAATACACAATCTCGTACAAAATTCTTAGAAAACTGTCGTTTTTGAGAGTTCGAAAAAAGTATTGAATTTGACTAGTTGGCAAGTATCCGATTAATACACTACATGAAATGATATCTAAATGGAAATCTTATATAGGGTAATGGCTGCAGACGAAGTGGGATTCGCTATAATAGAGGAAAAAAACCAACATCTAACGCATACAATTTAAATTCACGTATATATCAGTGATTCTCGGCCTCCAATATATTAGCTACATTCTACTATCATGCGTTGGACATCATCAATAATAGCACATATTTCACAATTTGGGAAAATAATAAAAGTAGAATTTCATCTAAATCCATTCAGTAGTGTTTATACCTCTATATACCTAATCATTAGTAATGATGTCATTGATCCGGATTTACGAAATCTGATGATCTAATTTCAACATCTTGGTAAAATAATATTTTTCATAATTCTATGCAAACACAACGAAGTAGTTTTTATTACTTTACTTATTCATGTCAATCGATATGTAGCATCCTTGTGTGAAAAGTAGAGTATAATAGAGGTACATGTAATGTCAACTATCTCTACCTCTAGTAAATAGAGATTTTTTTTTTTTAAGGGGCGAAAATCATCGAATGACTGCTCCCGCCTGGGTGAGGCGGAAGGAAGTGTCAGACTCTTACTGACTAAAAACCACCCCGTTCCTTCTCCTGCACGTCGAGCCGGAGCCCCGTTTACCCGTTAGTTTCTCCGCGACTCCGAATCGGCATCGGCCCTATTGGGCCCCATCTGTGGTGGTCTGATGGCTCTTTGAGGCGCGCGCGGAGTAAATAGTGATAGACCCTATTTAGCCTAAACCACTACACCAATTTTGATGAAATCTTGCACAGACATAAATAAACAATAGGAGATGATTATCAAGTAAAAATACAGACGTGAGCAAACCCACGTGCAGAAGCTATTTGTTAAAAATTACGAAATATTTTTGCAATCATTGGCATTTTAATCGAATCAAATTTTGCGTGTTTATTCAATGTGCGCCCGGCAAGGTTAATTATTTTATTCTATAAGATTGTATGTGTTAATAGGTATTGATTATTCATGTTTTTAACCGACATTGCAAGTGGGAGGTTGTGTGTTCGACCTTTGTTGTGTTGGCGTGATTCATTGCAGATGTTTTCAAATAACTAGCGTGTGTCAGTGGCTTCGCTCGTGTTCCCGTGGATTATAAAGGCTACTGATGCTTTAGCTCAATTTTTATAGTGTCTAAATCTATTCAGAGAAGTTTTAAAGCCGTAAAGTGCCTCCTGTCAGCCTTTGCTGGGACAAAAAGTAGCCTATGTATTATGACCATAACCTACTCCTGTTACAAATTTCATTCTAATACCTTCAGCCGTTTTAACAGGAAGGCGTAACAAACACACACAAACACGAACTTTTGCATTTATAATATTACTAGCTTTTACCCGCGGCTTCGCTCGCGTCACAAAAGGATAAAAAGTAGCCAATGTGACATATACCAATACATACAGCGCCGTCTATACCAATACTTTTGTTTTCCCTCGGGAATATCCAATTTTTTCGGGATAAAAAAGTACCCTATTATTTAATCCAGACTACTAACTTTACGTCTGCAAAAATTCAATGCAATCGGTTTAGAAGTTACGGCGTGAAGTTGGAACAAACAAACTAACAAACAAACTCACTTTCCGATTTATAATATTAGTAAGGATAGGTCTAAGAAGGAAGGTCTAGGAATAAAATAAACATTCTGATAGCATGACCTGGGTATGACCAGCGACTAAGTATGGACAGCGGCACCCTTTAAATTTTTCAGTGATCTCTAACAATGCCAAGACTGGGGATTATAACGAAGCTACCTGACAAGATTGGGGATTAACGCGAAGCTGCCTGCCAAGTGCGGGATTAAGGTTTTTTTCCTAATGGACCTATTTTAGTTGATTATAATGATGGTATTATATTAAGATGTATTTTATTGAGCTTCACGTGATGTGATAAGCAATAAGTCATCATAATATATTATGTTCTTGTGATTACTTATGAATTAATATTATTAATGCCTAATTAATAATAATCAAAATAATTCATTAACTATTTACACAATTTAATAATTATGCACATACATAATATTTTGTGTGTATTGTACACATACATGTATAAATTTATTTATTTATTATTAGCAACATGCATAAAATCAATATTATAAATTTTATATTTTTATGAACATGTCGATTGCTCAAGGAGACAATTGTAATTTATTTTCCTGATTTATTAGTGTTAGAGATATTTGTTATTAATTCAAATTTTATTAGATTGATAGTAAATTCCAAATGACATCATCCTTTCTATTCCCCAATGAGGTAGACAGAGGTGCACATGTTTTTTTTTTTTTTTTTTTTTTTTTTTTTTTTTTTTTTTTAAACGTTGCCCCACATTAGGATTTTCTCCTGTGTCGTGGGTGCGTTTACAAACATACAAGTTCACATACACAATCACACCCAGACCCGAAACAACAATTTCTGATGTTGATGTCTGATGGCTCTTTGAGGCGCGCGCGGAACGCGACGCGCCGTACGCTCGGGTCTGTTTCTGGTCGGACGGGGAGCCACCCATGCTCGCCGTCCGCAGGCCCGCGCTTACGGTGGCCGGAGATCGTCTCGCGATCCCCGACGCCCGGTGTGTCCTTCGCGATGGCTGGGTTGCGAGGAGGCAGCGCTTCGCTGCCTCACGCGTCCCGCCTCCTCCTTAGCTAGCATGACTGCTTCGCAAAAGGAGGAGACGTTTTAAACGTTGCCCCACATTAGGATTTTCTCCTGTGTCGTGGGTGCGTTTACAAACATACAAGTTCACATACACAATCACACCCAGACCCGAAACAACAATTTATGGATTACACAAAGTGTTGTTCCGTGCGGGAATCGAACCCGCTACACGTTGCACGGCAGCCGGTTGCCCAGCCACCGTACCAACCGTGCAGTCAACATGTACAATGTAACACCCACTTTTCACTATTTATGTTATGAGTCCCATGTAATAGGGGGTGAGTTTTGAGAAGCCCTTAGATTAGCGCGTACACAAATCCTTCAGCTTTAATAAAATATAATCTTTGTATATATAATTCTTCTGTGAGTGTGTATGTCACTGAACTTCTCTCAAACGACTGGACCGATTTGTGTTCAAGGGGATCTGGGAACGGTTTAGATTCACAAATCAACCCGGCAGATGGCGCTGCAGTCGCTGTCTACGTTAATTATCCTAAACTAATTTTAATGAATTTATGTTTATACATTCAAATGGATATGCAGGACAACGTCTGTCGGGTCCGCTAGTAAAGTATATAAGATTTAATATTCAGCAAGGGGTCTCGGGTTCGATTTTCGGGTCGGACAAAATATTACTGGGTTTTTAACAAAAATCGCAATACCGTAAAATGGGGTGGATAGGGATCGAAAGATGAATAGAGACAAAAGAGGAGTGAATAGATATTGGGAAATTCTTCAATCTTCATAGTATCGATTCACCCCTCTTCTATCCCTATTCACCATTTTACCGTTAGTAGCACGGAGTCTGGATTTGTGCCCGGTATATGGCAATAGGCTCACCCCCTATTACATGGAACTTATAACATAAATAGTGAAAATGGGTGTTACATTGTACAGTGGCATTAAGTGCCGTACATTACGGCACCTACAAATATAAAAGACGTATTGTTATATTATTTTAATATTGAACACGAATAAGCTCATTATAATTGAAGCCTTCACGCTATCTTCCCTTTTTGGGGCGTGCAGAATTGTAAATAATGGTTATAATAACAAATTCGTAACGGGGATTTGCTTTAAATCATGAGAGCGGTCTTTAAGCCTATTGTCCATCTCCGGACAGGATTGGAAACTCCAAAATGAGTACTGTGTATGGTAATAGGGTCACCTCATATTACGTGGGACTCGTAACTTGACGGTTAATCAAGTTATTTAATATACAGGTAACAAAACAAAGATTGTTTCAGTACAGAGACAGTAGCTATTGTTTTTTTTATAGCATAAGCCGGTAAACGAGCAGACGGATCACCTGATGGTAAGCAATCGGCGTCGCCTATGGACACCTGGAACACTAGACGCGTTACAAATGCGTTACCGGCTCTTTGGGGATTAGGAGTTTGAGGATCGTTGGGGATTCAGGGATTGGGGAGATTGGGGAAGAGGAAGGTAATTGGGCCTACGGTAACCTCACTCACACGACGAAACACAACGCAAGCGTTGCTTCACGTCGGTTTTTTGCTTGGCCGTGGTATCACTCCGGTCGAGCCGGCCCATTCGTGCTGAAGCATGGCTCTCCCACACTTATACACATACTGTTATACTAAATTGTACGCTTTGTAACGAAGCCGACTGAGTTACAGAAGACATCTTCTGTAACTCAGTCGGCTCTAGACAACCAATGGTTACCGTCTCTATACTGAATCAATCTTTGGCCTAGCTTCACCTAGTTTCACTGACGGACTGACTGACAGACTATTATTTATTTTGTATTTGTTGACGTTTCAAAAGTAATAAATTATGGTTTAATTGAAATAAATGCTTTG